ATTTCATATACGGGAGCAACAGACATTATCAGTACATTTTATGTTAACTCCTTCCTGCCCATCCCCAGTTCCCTTTATTAGGATCTGCACATGTACAATCCAAACGCACACGTTCCAGCGCTAAAAATGGCATAGCTACAGCAAGGCAACGTTTCGGAGTCTCGCAGGACCCCTTCATCAGGCATGTGACACATGTGAGAATCCAAAACATCGCCTTGCTGTAATGATGTGATCGTTCGAAGAACACCAGTATTGGTCCAAAAGTTTTCATGAACGATCACATCATTACAGCAAGGCAACGTTTCGGGGTCTCGCATGTGTCACATGCCTGATGAAGGGGTCCTGCGAGTCTCCTAAACGTTGCCTTGCTGTACCGATGTGATTGTTTGAGGATCACTAATATTGGTCCAAAAATGTTAATGAACAATTAAAACTTTTGGACCAATATTGGTGATCCTCGGTGTGCTGGTGACATTCTCCCTTTATTAGGATCTGCACGTGTTCAATCCAAACTCACATGTTCCCGCTGTAGCGACCGTCGGCTGGAACCGAACAGAATCAGCGAGGGAGAATGTCACACTGAGGATCACCAATATGGGTCCAAAACTTTTAATGAACGATCACATCGTTACAGCAAGGCAACGTTTTGGAGTCTCACGTGAGTCACGTGTCTGATAAAGGGGTCCTGCGAGATTCCGAAACGTTTCCTTGCTGTAACTATGTGATCGTTCATTAACATTCTTGGACCAATATTTGTGATCCTCAAACGATCACATCGTTACAGCAAGGCAACGTTTTGGAGTCTCGCGTGTGTCACATGCCTGATGAATGAAGTCTCGCAGGACCCCTTCATCAGGCATGTGACACACACGAGACTCCGAAACGTTGCCTTGCTGTAACGATGTGATCGTTCATGAAAACTTTTGGACCCGTTTTGGTGATCCTCGGTGTGCCGGTGACATTCTCCCTTTATTAGGATCTGCATGTGTACAATCCAAATGCACATGTTCCTGCGTTAAAAATGGCTGTGGGTGCTGCAATGACCGTCAGCTGGAACCGAACAGAATCAGCGAGTGAGAATGTGACCGGCACCCCGAGGATCACCAATATGGGTCCAAAAGTTTTAATGAACGATCACATAGTTCCAGCAAGGCAACGTTTTTGGAGTCTCGCAGGACCCCTTCATCGGGCATGTGACACATGTGAGACTCCGAAACGTTGCCTTGCTGGAACTATGTGATCGTTCATTAAAACGTTTGGACCCATATTGGTGATCCTCGGTGTGCCGGTGACATTCTCCCTTTATTGGGATCTGCATGTGTACAATCCAAACGCACACATTCCTGCGTTAAAAATGGCTGTGTGTATAAGTGGGTGCGGCAACGACCGTCGGCTGGAACCGAACAGAATCAGAGAGGGAAAATGTCACCGGGACACCGAGGATCACCAATATGGGTCCAAAAGTTTTAATGAATGATCACATCGTTCCAGCAAGGCAACGTTTCGGAGTCTCGCAGGACCCCTTCATCAGGCATGTGACACATGCAAGACTCCGAAATGTTGCCTTGCTGTAACTTTTGGACCCATATTGGTGATCCTCGGTGTGCCGGTGACATTCTCCCTTTATTAGGATCTGTACGCCCTCGGGGCAGTGGGAAGAATCGGCTGTCATGTGACTACTGTTGTCCCGCCAATCCCGCTTGCTAACTGTCATTAGTGGGGACCGAGAGATGTCTTCGACATACATTAGTGTAGCTTCCGAAATAAAAGTGGAGAGTTGACTGTTTCTAACCTCCGTCCTTAACAATAAATACAGAGTTCACTGTGAAGCGAAAAGCAGTATTAAGATTATTGGATGCTACAGGGGAACTCGGGGTCACAAGGGTCTCCAAGATGCTTGGAAAGGAAGCGCTGGAGCCCTGAAGATTTTATAATACCGCCGTCATTCAATGTTATAGTGGTTGTATAAATGTAGAGCACGGGTGTTAAACCGGCCGCCCTTCAGCTGTTGCCGAACTACAAGTCCCATGAGGCATTGCAAGATGGAGGGTTACAAGCATGACTCCTAAAGGCAGAGGCATGATGGGAATTGTAGTTTTTCAACAGCTGGAAGCAGTTTGACACCCCTGATGTAGAGAATTCAGATGTTGGGGTTGGCATCTCCTGCACACCACAGCATTCCAACAATCACCTTGCGTGTGATTAAGGAATTGAAGTGCCACACTGTAGTATTCAAGTCCAAATACAAGTTTATCCCGGTGATACGTTCTTTGCACACCCAACGTGTTTTGGGGGTTGTACCTCTGCCCCCTTCATCAGGGCTTGGAAACACAGTGTGGGTGGAGAGCCCCCGACGGATTAGCATGCAACTCCATTTAATAGCATCCAACTATGGATAGATTACGGACTTTCATTTTTTTTATTTCAAGCCCTGATGAAGGGGGCAGAGGTCCAGCCCCCCGAAACGTGGTGTCTTTGCAAACAGGTTACCATTGGAACAGACTTGTATTTTCACTTTGATATTACGAAGGGTCCCCAAGACGGCCAGTTGGGAACTGCGTGTGCGGTGCGGTGACGTGATCTCCATCACGTTCAAATAGCATTTCATGAAGGATAATGTCAATCCCTGTTTTTCCGTTCTTAAATATTGATTGAGGCTTCCATGGCAGTCTTGTACATGTGCAATGAATTAAAAGAAAATAGGAGCTGTGTGTGACAGCTCCTCCCCCTCAGGATGTGATCCCCCTCGGCCCACCAATTCCCAGATGCATCTCTTATTTTTAGCGGCCCTTCTTGGCGGTTTATGGGAAGGAGAGCCGTGGGTTCAGACCTCATCCCCAGCGCTGTCATGGATTAGATTGCTGCTTCCTATACTCTCTAGTAACCTTTGTATATGTATCCTTGGTCATTAATAAAACCTGTATTGCATAAACATCCCATTATTTTTATTGGCCCTTTAATGCCAGCAGTGGGATGAGTCTGTCTTCCTCGAGCCGTGTCTGATGTATCATATGCCGTGTGCTTGCACCGTTAATGGGCCCGGACTCTTCTATAATTCATGCATGAACTGATGTGACCGGACCTGAGCTCCAGTTAACCATTTGCTGTCCATCTGTAGTGCGTGCGCAATGGCTGGGGTGTATGGGGCCCCCTACTGCAGTCTAGGCGCTGGGGGAACTACAACTCCCAGCACAGTCACAATTATTCACATGAAAAAAACGTGTTTGATTTGGGGGCGAGCAGGCTGAAGCACCCACTGCTTTCCGAAGCTGACCTGACAATCTGACGCAATTGCATTTAAACCCACCCGTGACATTGTATGGTATCAAGCTGGCCATACACCTTACAACCTGAATGTGCAATCCAGTCTCCTGTAGATCTACCAAAGTCCTAAATAAACCATCATCTCAGCTGGTATCTAGTCAGGTAGGCTCTCCTATTACGTAATTGTCTGATCAATCAGATTAAAAGGTGTATTGCCTCCCTGACTAGATACAGATGGAATGGATATTCAGGTTGGGCCTCTTATCACAAAGAGTGTGCAATCAGATTGTATTTGCTGGATGGTTTTCCTAAATAGTTCTCCAGTTTCTGTCACAATATGTCACTGCCTGATGAAGGGGTCCTGCGAGACTCCGAAACGTTGCCTTGCGGGACAACATTAGTCACATGGCAGATCCTAATAAAGGGAGAATGTCACCGTCACACCGAGGATCACCAATATGGGTCCAAACGTTTTCATGAACGATCACATCGTTACAGCAAGGCGACGTTTCGGAGTCTCGCATGTGTCACATGCCTGATGAAGGGGTCCTATGAGACTCCGAAACGTTGCCTTGCTGGGACAACATTAGTCACATGGCAGATCCTAATAAAGGGAGAATGTCCCCGGCACACCGAGAATCACCAATACGGGTCCAAATGTTTTCATGAACGATCACATAGTTACAGCAAGGCAACATTTCGGAGTCTCGCATGTGTCACATGCCTGATGAAGGGGTCCTATGAGACTCCGAAACGTTGCCTTTGCGGGACATTAGTCACATGATAGCCGATTCTTCCTACTGCACCGAGGGCGTACAGATCCTAATAAAGGGAGAATGTCAGCGGCACACCGAGGATCACCAATATTGGTCCAAACATTTTCATGAACGATCACATCGTTACAGCAAGGCAACGTTTTGAAGTCTCGTGTGTGTCACATGCCTGATGAAGGGGTCCTGTGAGACTCCGAAACGTTGCCTTTGCAGGACAACAGTAGTCACATGACAGCCGATTCTTCCCACCGCATCGAGGGCATACAGATCCTAATAAAAGGGAGAATGTCTCCGGCACACCGAGGATCACCAATATGGGTCCAAACATTTTCATGAACGATCACATCGTTACAGCAAGGCGACGTTTCGGAGTCTTGCATGTGTCACACGCCTGATGAAGGGGTCCTGCGAGACTCCGAAATGTTGCCTTGCTGTAACGGTGTGATCGTTTATTAAAACGTTTGGACCCATATTGGTGATCCTCGGTGTGCCGGTGACATTCTCCCTTGCTGATTCTGTTGGGTTCCAGCCGACGGTCGCTGCAGCACCCACTTATACACACACAGCCATTTTTAACGCAGGAACGTGTGCGTTTGGATTGTACACTTGTAATCAGATTGTATGGCCCGTTATTTATCTCTCCAGGACATCAGAGAAAATAAAATCTTTATTAAGATTAGAAACTTCAGCTCGTCATATAGTGAATGCGGGGTCCGGGGAGAGCGGATATAGTGAATGCGGGGTCCGGGGAGAGCGGATATAGTGAATGCGGGGTCCGGGGAGAGCGGATATAGTGAATGCAGGTCCGGGGAGAGCGGATATAGTGAATGCAGGGTCCGGAGAGAGCGGATATAGTGAATGCGGGGTCCGGGGAGACCAGATATAGTGAATGCGGGGTCCGGGGAGACCAGATATAGTGAATGCGGGGTCCGGGGAGAGCAGATATAGTGAATGCGGGGTCCGGGGAGAGCGGATATAGTGAATGCGGGGTTCGGGGAGACCAGATATAGTGAATGCGGGGTCCGGGGAGAGCAGATATAGTGAATGCGGGGTCCGGGGAGACCGGATATAGTGAATGCAGGGTCCGGGGAGAGCGGATATAGTGAATGCGGGGTCCGGGGAGAGCAGATATAGTGAATGCGGGGTCCGGGGAGACCAGATATAGTGAATGCGGGGTCCGGGGAGAGCGGATATAGTGAATGCAGAGTCCGGGGAGAGCGGATATAGTGAATGCAGGGTCCGGGGAGAGCGGATATAGTGAATGCAGAGTCCGGGGAGAGCAGATATAGTGAATGCAGGGTCCGGGGAGAGTGGATATAGTGAATGCGGGGTCCGGGGAGACCAGATATAGTGAATGCAGGGTCCTGGGAGACCAGATATAGTGAATGTAGGGTTCGGGGAGAGCGGATGTAGTGAATGTAGGGTTCGGGGAGAGCGGGATATAGTGAATGTAGGGTTCGGGGAGAGCGGATATAGTGAATGCGGGGTCCGGGGAGAGCGGATGTAGTGAATGCAGGGTCCGGGGAGACCGGATATAGTGAATGCGGGGTCCGGGGAGAGCGGATGTAGTGAATGCAGGGTCCGGGGAGACCAGATATAGTGAATGCAGGGTCCGGGGAGAGCGGATGTAGTGAATGCAGGGTCCGGGGAGAGCGGATATTGTGAATGCGGGGTGCGGGGAGAGCGGATATAGGGAATGCGGGGTCTGGGGAAACCAGATATAGTGAACTTCCATTCAGATCTTCGCATGGATCTGACTGGAAGTGGGGGAGTGGGTACCTGCTCCCCGCCAACAATAAAAAGAGGTGCCATATGTTAAGGAGGTGGAGGAAGAGCGGCATTTCCTCTTTCGGGTGAAGTTCTGCTTTCATGCCTGTTCTGAATTAATGTATAAAAAACCTTGTGTGATCAGATAATCGTCTACCTCCCATGCCTCCCACCCCTGTTACTTACCTGAGTCTGATCTCAATCCAGCAACGGCTTTCTCCTTACTGGACATGGACGCAGCAGGGTGACCTATTGGCTCCTGCTGCTGTCAGTCAAGTCCAGTGAGGAGGAAGCGGAGAGCTGGGCCCAGCTGCGCATTGTGTGTCAAAAGATGCACACATCCCATCTCGGGAATGAGCTTGCATAAGTGCCCCCACAGCATGCAGCTTCCTACGGGGGGGCACTCGGAAGGGAGGAGGAGCCAAGAGCACCAGTAGGAGACCCCAGAAGAAGAGGATCGGGCTGCTCTGTGAAAAGCCATTGTACGGAGCAGGTAAGTATAGCATGTTTATTAATTTTAAACAAATGGTACCTTTTATAATCACATAATATACACAGGGCTGCTTAAGGTGGGGGGGGGGGGGGGTTGGATTTTAAGGAAAGTGCACCTGTCATTTAAGCATCCTGTTCTTTGCTAGATGCTAGGTCTATACCGACATTGACCTTGGAAAATAGAAAGAGATCAGCCTATCCTATCTGATTGGCCACCACGGTGTTACGGAGCAAGGACATTCATTCATTCATTCATTCATTCACTCCTATGTATCTGCTATCATTTTTGTTTTTTTTTCTCCTCATCTTCCCTTCCCCCTCTAACATGTCTCTCCTTCTTCTCTTTTAGGTGACGACGTGACGGTGATCGAGCCGGGCAGTTCGGACAGCCGGGAGGAACGGGTGGGACTTGTACTCGCAGGGCGAGGAGTCCCTCCAAGGCGGGGAGGGCAGCTATATCACTCACACTCTGGGCCTGGAGAAGGACGACAATCACCCGCAGGTCACCAGCATCTCCAACCTGCGCAGCGCCCTCCTGAGCAAGAACAGCCTGTTGTCCCTCAAGGCCGATGTTCTGGGGGAGGAGAGCTCGCTGCTGTTCGAATACCTGCCCAAAGGTACCCACTCGCTCTCTCGTAAGTCCCTCTCTCTTCTTTCATTGTCCTTCCCATGATAGCCGATCACAAAGGCCTGTTCACATTTGATTTTGTTTGCAAAGCAAAGGTGGAAGTGAGGGCCGGTCACTCCAAGTGAAGTAAAATGCAGTTAGGATTTTTAATGCATGTTTTCCCAGTGTTGTGTTCATTGTTCTCATCTTGGACTCGCAGGGTTAACCCAGCCCATCCTATTTGGGGAAACGGCCACTTCCTGTTAGATTTTAGGGGATGTGAAATTGACTCTTTTCCCCGTCTCTTCTTCCTTATGTTAAAGGGGAAGCAACTCTCATATCCCATAGAGGGAAGTGGAATCGCTCCCAACTGCCTCTGCTTTACACCCATCTGCCTCTGTCTGTAGATCCCCTGCAGTTCCTCTTTTAGGTCTGATGTATAGAGTGCTGTAAATGAACAATTAAACCACCAAGTTTGTATATCGCTCTTAAAGTCGACCTTCCAGCAACTTCAAAAGTCTGCATGAATAAATTCCTGATATGTCCCAATGTACAGCAATGGTATTAGTTACCAGAAAAATTATTGTTTGAAGGCAATCCCTGGACTCAGCAACCTTGCTTGGGTTGAGATGAAATAATCAGTCTACTGTAGGCAGGTAGAGGCATTTCCTCAGTCTTCTTTTCCCCTAATGTTTAGATCAGTGTTTCTCAACCTTTTTTCAGTCAAGGTACCCTTAAAAATTATGGACAGTTCCTAGGCACCCTTGAAAATTATGGACAGTCCCAAGGCACCCTTGAAAATTATGGACAGTCCCAAGGCACCCTTGAAAATTATGGACAGTCCCGAGGCACCCTTGAAAATTATGGACAGTCCCGAGGCACCCTTGAAAATTATGGACAGTCCCGAGGCACCCTTGGAAATTATGGACAGTCCCGAGGCACCCTTGGAAATTATGGACAGTCCCGAGGCACCCTTGGAAATTATGGACAGTCCCGAGGCACCCTTGAAAATTATGGACAGTCCCGAGGCGCCCTCGAAAATTATGGACAGTCCCGAGGCGCCCTTGAAAATTATGGACAGTCCCGAGGCGCCCTTGAAAAATTATGGACAGTCCCGAGGCGCCCTTGAAAATTATGGACAGTCCCGAGGCGCCTTTGGAAATTATGGACAGTCCCGAGGCGCCCTTGGAAATTATGGACAGTCCCGAGGCGCCCTTGGAAATTATGGACAGTCCCGAGGCGCCCTTGGAAATTATGGACAGTCCCGAGGCGCCCTTGGAAATTATGGACAGTCCCGAGGCGCCCTTGGAAATTATGGACAGTCCCGAGGCGCCCTTGGAAATTATGGACAGTCCCCGGCGCCCTTGGAAATTATGGACAGTCCCGAGGCGCCCTTGGAAATTATGGACAGTCCCGAGGCGCCCTTGGAAATTATGGACAGTCCCGAGGCGCCCTTGGAAATTATGGACAGTCCCGAGGCGCCCTTGGAAATTATGGACAGTCCCGAGGCGCCCTTGGAAATTATGGACAGTCCCGAGGCGCCCTTGGAAATTATGGACAGTCCCGAGGCGCCCTTTAACATTATGGACAGTCCCGAGGCAGGTATGACAGGTATGAGGGTCTACATAACTGTGTCATCTCTGAACTGGCATCCGGGAGGAAAATGTTGACCCTGGGTGATGCCTCAACATAGATGAAGAGAAAATCAGATGAAGGCGTTGTCAGGGGAGTACTGTGACCTCCGTGAGATAAAACCAGTAATACATTATTTAGCATAGTTTACTTGCCATGAAACCATATCTGATGCTCGGTCCACTTTAAACGTTCTGCTCAACTCTTAGATTGTAAGCTCCCAGGATCAGGCCCTCCTACACCCTCTTGTATTGAACTGTATTGTTGCTGTATTGTCTCCCGTTATATTGTACAGCGCTGAGCAAACTGTTGGCGCCATATAAATCCTGTATAATAATAATAATATATAAATCCTGTATAATAATAATAATATATAAATCCTGTATAATAAATAATAATATATAAATCCTGTATAATAATAATATATAAATCCTGTATAATAATAATATATATAAATTCTGTATAAATAATAATAATATATAAATCCTGTATAATAATAATATATAAAATCCTGTATAATAATAATAATATATAAATCCTGTATAATAATAATAATATATAAATCCTGTATAATAATAATAATATATAAATCCTGTATTAATAATAATATATAAATCCTGTATAATAATAATAATATATAAATCCTGAATAATAATAATAATAACTGCCCTGTAAGGTATTTCCTCTCTCTCCTGCTATTTTACTGCAGTGACCAGTTGGGTAAAGGCCAACTCTCCTCAATCACATGTTATACAAAGGCATATTGATGTGTGACTTTAATATATTTTTGTTGATGTATGCAGCTGTTTATATACAGGTCCACTTTTCTGGATAACTGGACCAAGTGTGGGGGAATATTATTTTGACTGTTTACATGTGGGGCCATGGAGTGTGGTCAGTATTTAGGTGTGGGGCTGTGGAATGTGGTCAATGTGAAGTTGCAGGCAATGGAGTGTGGTCAATGTGTGGGTGTAGACAGTGGGGTGTGGTCAATGCCTGGGTGCGGGGCTGTGGAATGTGGTCAATGTGTGGGTGCAGGCAATGGAGTGTGGTCAATGTGTAGGTGCGGGGTTGTGGAATGTGGTCAATGTGTAGGTGCAGGGTTGTGGAATGTGGTCAATGTGTAAGTGTAGGCAGTGGAGTGTGGTCAATGTGTAGGTGCGGAGTTGTGGAATGTGGTCAATGTGTAGGTGTAGGCAGTGGAGCGTGATCAATGTGGGGTAGTGGAATGTGGTCAATGTGTAGGTGCGGGGTTGTGGAATGTGGTCAATGTGTAGGTGCGGGGTTGTGGAATGTGGTCAATGTGTAGGTGCGGGGGTTGTGGAATGTGGTCAATGTGTAGGTGTAGCAGTGGAGCGTGATCAATGTGGGGAGTGGAATGTGGTCAATGTGTAGGTGCGGGGTTGTGGAATGTGGTCAATGTGTAGGTGCGGGGTTGTGGAGTGTGTGGTCAATGTGTAGGTGCGGGGTTGTGGAGTGTGGTCAATGTGTAGGTGCGGGGTTGTGGAGTGTGGTCAATGTGTAGGTGCGGAGTTGTGGAATGTGGTCAATGTGTAGGTGCGGAGTTGTGGAATGTGGTCAATGTGTAGGTGCGGAGTTGTGGAATGTGGTCAATGTGTAGGTGCGGGGTTGTGGAATGTGGTCAATGTGTAGGTGCGGGGTTGTGGAGTGTGGTCAATGTGTAGGTGCGGGGTTGTGGAGTGTGGTCAATGTGTAGGTGCGGGGTTGTGGAGTGTGGTCAATGTGTAGGTGCGGGGTTGTGGAGTGTGGTCAATGTGTAGGTGTGGGAGTTGTGAATGTGGTCAATGTGTAGGTGCGGGGTTGTGGAATGTGGTCAATGTGTAGGTGCGGGGTTGTGGAATGTGGTCAATGTGTAGATGTAGGCAGTGGAGTGTGATCAATGTGGGGTAGTGGAATGTGGTCAATGTGTAGGTGTAGGCAGTGGAGTGTGGTCAGTGTGTAGGTGCGAGGTTGTGGAATGTGGTCAATGTGTAGGTGCAGGCAGTGGAATGTGTGGTCAATGTGTAGGTAGTGGAGTGTGGTCAATGTGTAGGTGTAGGCAGTGGAGTGTGGTCAATGTGTAGGTGTAGGCAGTGGAATGTGGTCAATGTGTAGGTAGTGGCGTGTGGTCAATGTGTAGGTGCAGGCAGTGGAATGTGGTCAATGTGTAGGTGCAGGCAGTGGGTTGTGGTCAATGTGTAGGTGTTGGGTGATGGGATGTAGGCCGTGAAAGATGAGATGGTAGGGGACACATTGATTGAACCCAATGGCTAGAAACTGTCTGCATATTTGAGCCTCAGCAGCCATTTTGGAGAGGATGATGCCTTGACTGGACGGACGTGTTTTGTAGAGGAACGTGGTGCCGGCAATCTTTGGATGGAAGTGGGGGATGTCTCTTGAAGAGCCTATAGGAAAGATTTGTGAATTGGTGACTGTGGGCATGCTGTAGAGGGGAGGGCGGGGGTCACACATAGTGTATGAGGGTGTCCCCTATTGGGTGGTAGTCTTGGAGCTGCTTATTGGAATCCTCAGTGGTCAGCAGTGTGTTGGGGGATAAAACTCCAGGATTTGCAGAGGTTGTCACCACTGAGTGAGTAGTTTGGCTGACCCCGGAACCAGCATGAACACATCATGAGCTCCGAGGTCCGTGGGTCAGTGGCTGACAGTAGAGAGGTCGGAGGAGCCCTCAGCAGTCCTTCAGACACGGAGCCTTGTGCTTCTGCCTGGGTTTCCTCCTGCTACCTGCAGTGCAAGGCTGCGCCTGGTCATGTGAGGACAGCGATTACAGCAGGCGTGGCAGCCGAGGAAGGAGGGGGGGGGAGGGGAAGGGGGGGCTGTCTTGATGTATTATTAGTGATCTGATCCCAGACGGGGAGAATTAAAGGGTCAGCATGTGTCTGCAGCAGGTATTCTGAGCGGTGCCAACCACAGGAATGTAGTGGCCAACGGTGTATTCCATCCAGGGACGCCTTCCTGCTGAGCCAGAGCATCTGAACCCATGGGCACCATAGTGTGCCGATCACCCCCCCCGACATGTCTGTATTATAGGTATTGTCTGTCTGATCAGATGGGGGGACGGCGTACAAATGGTTTAAACAGGCCATTGAGAATATTTAAAGGAACAGCTTACCTCATGTACATGGTCTTGTGATCCTCCAATCACCACTGTGCCGTATGGACCCATAACCCTGCCGCCCATTGGTGCCTACAGTGCAGTCCTTTGGCCCCAGCAGTCAGTCGGAGGGAGAGCATTGATTGGTAAAGGGGCTGTAATAACTGATCTCTAGCAGCCGCCTATAACATATCCCTAACCTGCAACCACAAATGTTTCCTCTGACCATCTCCTGTAGTAGGTCTGCAGTCTCTGACCATCTCCTGTAGTAGGTCTGCAGTCTCTGACCATCTCCTATAGTATGTATCTGCAGTCTCTATGTCTGCAGTCTCTTGCCATCTCCTGTAGTATGTCTGCAGTCTCTGGCCATCTCCTGTAGTATGCCTGCAGTCTCTGACCAACTCCTGTAGTATGTCTGCAGTCTCTGACCATCTCTGTAGTAGGTCTGCAGTCTCTGACCATCTCCTGTAGTATGTCTGCAGTCTCTGACCATCTCCTGTAGTAGGTCTGCAGTCTCTGACCATCTCCTGTAGTATGTCTGCAGTCTCTGACCATCTCCTGTAGTATGTCTGCAGTCTCTGACCATCTCCTGTAGTAGGTCTGCAGTCTCTGACCATCTCCTGTAGTAGGTCTGCAGTCTCTGACCATCTCCTGTAGTAGGTCTGCAGTCTCTGACCATCTCCTGTAGTATGTCTGCAGTCTCTGACCATCTCCTGTAGTATGTCTGCAGTCTCTGACCATCTCCTGTAGTATGTCTGCAGTCTCTAACCATCTCCTGTAGTATGTCTGCAGTCTCTGACCATCTCCTGTAGTATGTCTGCAGTCTCTGACCATCTCCTGTAGTAGGTCTGCAGTCTCTGACCATCTCCTGTAGTAGGTCTGCAGTCTCTGACCATCTCCTGTAGTAGGTCTGCAGTCTCTGACCATCTCCTGTAGTAGGTCTGCAGTCTCTGACCATCTCTGTAGTAGGTCTGCAGTCTCTGACCATCTCCTGTAGTATGTCTGCAGTCTCTGACCATCTCCTGTAGTAGGTCTGCAGTCTCTGACCATCTCCTGTAGTAGGTCTGCAGTCTCTGACCATCTCCTGTAGTAGGTCTGCAGTCTCTGACCATCTCCTGTAGTAGGTCTGCAGTCTCTGACCATCTCCTGTAGTATGCCTGCAGTCTCTGACCATCTCTTGTAGTATGTCTGTCTGCAGTCTCTGACCATCTCCTGTAGTATGCCTGCAGTCTCTGGCCATCTCCTGTAGTATGCCTGCAGTCTCTGGCCATCTCCTGTAGTAGGTCTGCAGTCTCTGACCATCTCCTGTAGTAGGTCTGCAGTCTCTGACCATCTCCTGTAGTAGGTCTGCAGTCTCTGACCATCTCCTGTAGTAGGTCTGCAGTCTCTGACCATCTCCTGTAGTATGTCTGCAGTCTGACCATCTCTTGTAGTATGCCTGCAGTCTCTGACCATCTCTTGTAGTATATCTGCAGTCTCTGACCATCTGCTGTAGTATGTCTGCAGTCTCTGACCATCTCCTGTAGTGTGCCTGCGGTCTCTGACCATCTCCTGTAGTATGCCTGCAGTCTCTGACCATCTCTTGTAGTATGTCTGTCTGCAGTCTCTGGCCATCTCCTGTAGTATGTCTGCAGTCTCTGACCATCTCCTGTAGTATGCCTGCGGTCTCTGACCATCTCCTGTAGTATGCCTGCAGTCTCTGACCATCTCCTGTAGTAGGTCAGTCTCTGACCATCTCCTGTAGTAGGTCTGCAGTCTCTGACCATCTCCTGTAGTGTGCCTGCAGTCTCTGACCATCTCCTGTAGTAGGTCTGCAGTCTCTGACCATCTCCTGTAGTATGCCTACAGTCTCTGACAATCTTCTGTCACATTACATGTACCTGAATATTATTTGCAGCTCGTCAGGTTTGTCAGGGGCCACAATGGAGACCCCGTATATCTTGCACATTGGTGGATCAGCACTTCTCTCCTTTCATTTGGGAGGGTTTAGCAGCTGAAACCTCTCCCTGCTCATGATATAATGTCTCACGCTAGATATAAGTTGCATGGTGCCTGGCTTACTTTTCACCGTTGTAGTTGTATTTTGTATAGATCTAGAAGAGTGTGAGTTGTGATGCATCCTCCCTGGTGGACGTCATTGCTGGATTATGCTGGACCCCGGCCTGTCTGCACACGGCGGTGACCTCTCTGTTCTCTCTCTTTCAGTAAACGAATTCACCGTCATCCGCAAGAAGTTCAAATGCCCGTACTGCAGCTTCTCCGCCATGCACCAGTGCATCCTGAAGAGACACATGCGCTCTCACACGGGGGAACGGCCCTATCCCTGCGAGATCTGTGGCAAGAAGTTCACCAGGAGGGAGCACATGAAGCGCCACACTTTGGTAAGAAGCGGTACTGCTTTCTCTGACAGTTTCTTAGGCGCTGCTGGGTCAAGTGAGGTGAGGAGTACACCGCATCGGCTAGTACAGGCAACTTGTTAAAATGTCCATGCTGATAAGACAGACTGAATCATTAGCCCTTCTGCACATGCTCAGTTTGGTGTGTATTGCTGGAGAAGTTTTTTTTCTTGGGAGACTGCATGTGATCAGCACATGGCCAATCAGCACTGTCCTGACAGAGGTCAGGGGTTCTGCATCCTCCTAGAGCAGAAAGAAAGCTCCTCCTACAAGCTTTTAACTAGTGCTCTGCTGGACACTGATTGAAGTCACGAGACTGCTCTCACTGCTTATGAGAAGTTTATATTTACTAAAATTATTGCATTTCCATGTTGTGTGTACTGTGTACTGTGGGAGACCAGATATAGTGAATGCGGGGTCCGGGGAGACCAGATATAGTGAATGCGGGGTCCAGGGAGACCAGATATAGTGAATGCGCGGTCCGGGGAGAGCGGATATAGTGAATGCAGGGGTCCGGGGAGACCAGATATATTGAATGCTGGGTCCGGGGAGACAAGATATAGTGAATGCAGGGTCCGGGGAGACCAGATATAGTGAATGCGGGGTCCGGGGAGACCAGATATAGTGAATGCGGGGTCCGGGGAGACCAGATATATTGAATGCTGGGTCCGGGGAGACCAGATATAGTGAATGCGGGGTCTCGGGGGACCGGATATAGTGAATGCAGGGTCCGGGAGAGTGGATATAGTGAATGCAGGGTCCGGGGAGAGTGGATATAATGAATGCAGGGTCCGGGGAGAGTGGATATAATGAATGCAGGGTCCGGGGAGAGCGGGATATAGTGAATGCGGGGTCCGGGGAGAGTGGATATAGTGAATGCGGGGTCCGGGGAGAGCGGATATAGTGAATGCGGGGTCTGAGGAGACCAGATATAGTGAAATGCGGGGTCCGGGGAGAGCCGATGTAGTGAATGCAGGATGCGGGGAGAGCAAATATAGTGAATGCAGGATCCAGGGAGAGCGGATATAGTGAATGCGGGGTCCGGGGAGAGCGGATATAATGAATGCAGGGTCCAGGGAGAGCGGATATAGTGAATGCGGGGTCCGGGGAGAGCGTATATAGTGAATGCGGGGTCTGAGGAGACCAGATATAGTGAATGCGGGGTCCGGGAGAGCGGATATAGTGAATGCGGGGTCCGGGGAGAGCGGATATAGTGAATGCGGGGCCTGAGGAGACCGGATATAGTGAATGCGGGGTCCGGGGAGAGCCGATGTAGTGAATGCAGGGTCCGGGGCCAATGTAGTGAATTCGGGGTCCAGGGAGAGCGGATATAGTGAATGCCAGGTCCGGGGAGAGCCATGTAGTGAATGCGGGTCTGGGGAGACCGGATATAGTGAATGCCGGGTCCGGGGAGAGCCAATGTAGTGAATGCGGGGTCCGGGGAGAGCGGATATAGTGAATGCCAGTCCGGGGGAGAGCCATGGTAGTGAATGCGGGTCCGGGGAGAGCGGATATAGTGAATGCAGAGTCCGGGGAGAGCGGATATAGTGAATGTGTTCACTTATTTTCATGCCACTTCAGGCCGGTCATGTGATCTCCCCTGTATCAGCCAGCAGCGGCTACAGGGGAAAGGAGAATGCGCTCTGACAATGGCTAGTAAAGCATGGAATGGTGACATCACCTATAGATCACTTGTTCCAGCTTCCTGTGTCAGCCAGCGCAGCTGTAGGGGAGAGGAGGGAGCGCTGACAACAGATGAGCCATTGAAGCCTATGGGTGACTTTCATGTTCCTGGCTTTACTAGCTGTTTTTGGAGCACTCCCTCCTCCTCTCCCTTGCAGCTGACACAGGGAGCTGGATCCAGTGACCAGTGGGTGAAGTCACCATTCCAGGGTTTACTAGCCACTGTTGGAACCCTCTCTTCTCTCCCCTGCAGCTGCTGCTGGTTCTATCTGCCCCCCTAGGAAAGGTGTGCCCTCTGAGTCAGTTTAAAGGGAACCTGTTGGGTGGGAAATAATGGAAGCAGCCATTGACTACCGGATGGAGGGTGCAGATTGTCATCCCTGCCCTTATTAATTGAGGGATAATCATTTCCATATTGGAAATCCCAATTGCTTTGTGTCCTGACAAGCTTCCTCTACGTACAGATTTGTCCCGGCAGGCAGGATTGTGCCTTTAAATCCCGTCCCCCTGTGTCCGGCTATGATGTGAGCTCATAATGATGTCTTCTTAATTGGAGACAGGCCGAGGAGGTGATATGAGCCCATTACATTCGCAGCAAAGCAGTGTTTTTGGTTGCCATGGAGACACCGTCTGACTTAAAGGACCGCATCCACCTGACCAGAAATCCGAACGCCTTAAAGGAAGCCCGTACTGCGACAATATGTAAGCTGCCAACGCCGGGCATTTCTTTTTGAAAATGCCACCTCCCTGGCTGTCTCTGGCTTCGATTATGCAGACCAAGAGTTCGGACTTTGCTGGCTGCATGCTTATTCTAGGTCAGTGACCAGAGATGGACAGGCAGCTGGCATTCTCAGCAGTAGCAGTCTCCATACTCTGGACCAGGGGCGGACTGACCATTTGGAAACTCGGGTGCTGCCCGAGGGCCCGGGGTCAGTAGAGGCCCCATGAGATGCCCCTGGTACTTTTTCATAGGTACCTTTTTCATAGGCTTTTTGAGTTTGGGCAAGCACACAGGGGCCCCATGATCCCCTATTGCCCGGGGGCCCCCATGAGTTGTCAGTCCGCCCCTGCTCTGAGTAGTTCAGTATAGTTCATTTGTTTTGGATAGAGTTGAAAAGAGTAAAAATTTCTGTCTTGTTTTTTTTTTTCTGTGACCCCCTTGGAGAAATTTACACTCACTTCCTGTGCTGACAGGAAGTGATGAGTAACATCTCCAATGAGAGGACACAAATGGCAATTAAAACCTGACAGGGGCGCCAACCATCTACTCTCTCCTTAAATTAAAGTGGTTGTAAACCCTTACATATACCCAGTGAGGTGACTGAGATCAAGCAAATCCTCCTACTTAAGTTGTACCTGTTTATCTGCAGTATTTTCTTTTCTACATCTGTTCAAAGTGCAGAATTTATAAAGCTTGTCGGAGAGTTCAGAAAACATGGGGGCGGAGAGAGAGAGCTGAAATTACACTGTGCAAAGCTCAGTGAGGAGAATTCTGAGAGCTGATTGGAGGGAAGAGACACACGCCCCCTCCACACAGCTCACAGGAACAGCTGAGGCTGTCAATCTGCTGGAGGTCCCTCCCCTGTCACCATTTTTCTCTTGGTGGCAGGAAAACTTGTCAGAGGTGACTCATCTGATAGCAGAGGATAGAAGCAGCAGAGAAAGGTGACACTTAGTGCTGTGGAGTGAGGCAAGTACACACCATAGAGGTATAGGCTTTGTTCATATTTCATGTCTGAGGTTTTCAACCACTTTGAAAAATGAAAAGTTTAAAAAGTACAGTTTTAAGAGATCACTTACTATCCAGGGCCAGCGGATGGGAGAGAGCAGATGAGAGAACAATACACCCACAATGACAGGTCAGTTACAGGACAAAACCCGGAGTTCCACAACTTTCCACAAGTCTGTATTGAACGGAGAAGTTGTTTTTGAAGTACCTGAGAGATATATACCGTATTTTTCGCTCCATAAGACGCACTTTTTTTTCCCCCAAAAAAGGGGGGAAAATGTCAGTGCGTCCTATGGAGCGAATATAGAGCGGCCGGTCCGGTATTTCCACCGCCGCCGTGTCAGAATACCGGGCCGGCCGCTCAGCTCTGCAGTGGGACCGTACCTGTCCCTCTATCCAGCGGCGCGCTGTCTTCCCGGCTTCTGTAGTGTGCGTGACAGCCGGGTCCCAAGTGCGCATGCGCAAGAAGCAGTGCTCTTTGTGAATGGTAAGGCGGTACCTGGGACACATGACAGATCCCAGAAGCCGCCGGACCAATCACAAAGCGCAGCGCTTCTCGCGCATGCGCACTGGGCATCCGGCTGTCCGACGAGCGCCCACACTACAGAAGCCGGGAAGACAGCGCGCGGCTGGATAGAGGAACAGGTAAGATAAAAAAAAAAAAAAACTCTGCGGAAGTAAGAGCGGGTACCTGTCAAATTCAGGTACCTCCCCCCCCTCCCTCCCCAAAGGTCAGCAGTCAGTCCCTGTACTATGTCCACAGTCTCTGGTCATCCCTGTGCTGTCCGCAGTCTCTGGTCATCTCCTGTACTGTCCGCAGTCTCTGGTCATCCCTGTACTGTCCGCAGTCTCTGGTCATCCCTGTACTGTCCGCCGCAGTCTCTGGTCATCTCCTGTACTGTCCGCAGTCTCTGGTCATCCCTGTGCTGTCCGCAGTCTCTGGTCATCCCTGTGCTGTCCGCAGTCTCTGGTCATCCCTGTACTGTCCGCAGTCTCTGGTCATCTCCTGTACTGTCCGCAGTCTCTGGTCATCCCTGTACTGTGTCCGCAGTCTCTGGTCATCCCTGTACTGTCCGCAGTCTCTGGTCATCCCTGTGCTGTCCGCAGTCTCTGGTCATCCCTGTACTGTCCGCAGTCTCTGGTCATCTCCTGTACTGTCCGCAGTCTCTGGTCATCCCTGTGCTGTCCGCAGTCTCTGGTCATCCCTGTACTGTCCGCAGTCTCTGGTCATCCCTGTACTGTCCGCAGTCTCTGGTCATCTCCTGTACTGTACTGTCCGCAGTCTCTGGTCATCCCTGTACTGTCCGCAGTCTCTGGTCATCCCTGTACTGTCCGCAGTCTCTGGTCATCCCTGTGCTGTCCGCAGTCTCTGGTCATCCCTGTACTGTGTCCGCAGTCTCTGGTCATCTCCTCTACTATGTCTGCAGTCCATTAGTTTGGTTCAGAATTTTTTTTTCCTGTTTTCTGCCTCTAAAACCTAGGGTGCGTCTTATGGTCAGGTGAGTCTTATGGAGCGAAAAATATGGTATATATACATGACCTGATTTTATTTCTGTGTCACCCGTCTTATGAAGCCATGCGATGGCCTGCTGGAAATGGGGCTTCCTTGCTGGGGTGGGGGTTCGTTCGAGTCTCTGACCATTTCCTTTGACCGACCTCAAATGTGAAGTGGCCAAAGGACGGGAAGTGGGTCATTGCTGGGCGGCTCCATCCTGTCTGTCAGTTGGTTGTATGGAGGTGATCCTCCCAGCACATCCTGTGACCGGCAGGGTCTGTCAAGAGTGTGGGGTACAAATGGAAAGGAGGATCTGCTTGCTGATGCAATACAGACTTCTTTTTCTTGGAGCTGGTTCCTTGTGCCTGAGAACCCGGGCAAAGCAAAGGCTGCAGCAGCTGGGAGGAGCTTCTCAAGTGCCCCCATAATCCCCATCGGTCTTTCCCTATATTGAATTTAGGTGCTCTCGTCACACGCCGTCTCTGTCTCACTTCCCTGTCTCTCTGTTTCCATTAGACTTCTGTCTCCATCCCAAACACACTCCTTCTCCCCCCGACACTCTCACTTATCTTGTCTGTCTTGCCTTCTCCGTTACTATTCTCTCTCTCTCCCCCCATCGATACCCTATCTCTTTCGACTTCTCCATTACTATCCTCTCTCTCACCCTATCACTTCCCTATCTCTCTCGCCTTCTCCATTACTATCTTCTCTCTCACTCCATGACTTCCCTATCTCTCTCGCCTTCTCCATTACT